TTATTTTACATTATTACGAAAAATATAATAAAAATAGGGTGGACAAATGAAAATAATGGGTGGACAATCACGTGCGCATTGTGGACAAACGATACCCGTACATAATTATGAAAAATTATCACTTGGGGTTGTTACAATTTTTTTTTGTGTATAACTTTTTTTTGCGGGGTGGACCATTGAAAATAACGAGTGGACAAACGTGGACAAACAGTGGACAAACAAATGCAATAATGATAGCACCAATATTCGCATTTAGGGGTGCCAACTTCACAGAGCGCTACACGCGCGACTCTTTTTTTTTTTTGAACGACCATATAATTTTCTCTTACAAAATTTACACCAAAGCATAGTCGATTAAGCTTTAAATTATTATTACATTTCTTTGCGTCTTATTAAATTCGTCATATTCGGAAAATCTTATTGATTTTCGCAACATTTCTGTCTGCCATATTGAATTTAAAAATTTGATTCACGGAATCAAAATCAGCGTTCGCGGTAACCCCCATTTATCTAATTTCGCCGAAATTTTTAAATTTTTATGTATTTCACAACACTTTCCATCTTCCATTTTGGATCAGCCATTTGGATTTTCCTAATTTTGATCACGGATTCGAAATCAGCGTCCGTGTAAGCCTCCTTAATCCAAATTTCGCCGAAATCGGAAAACCTTTAAGTTTTGCGCATCTTTTCCGTCCGCCATATTGGATAAGTCTTTTTTAATTATCATTATTTTTACCATGTTTTTAAAAGAGCGTCCCCGAAAATTCCTTGTTACCAAAATTCACTATTTTCGGATTACTTTAACTGCCTCAACGAATAAAGGCTTCAAAAAAATGTCTACACGCCTTTTTTAAGATATGATTTTTTTTCTACATCTGATAATATTTTGAGCGACAGCAATAATTACACAATAAGAACTATGGTAATCTTTTATAAGAAAAATGTTAATATTGTATATAAATAAGCATCGGTATCCCCTTGTTAAGTAAAATTACACAATTTTTATTTAAATTATAAGGAATTATATGTGAAACAACGTTTCTATTATATGATTCGTATTTTTATTACGTGTTTCAGGTGGTTCTGCCACTTCGATGATGATAATTACGTGAACGTGCCGCGCCTATTGAAGCTTCTGGACAATTATAATCCACGCGAAGATTGGTATCTCGGCAAACCCTCGATACCTGCGCCCTTGGAGATCATCAGGCAGGGTCCGGAGCCGCAGAAACGACCGGTGAATATAGATTAATTGCATTTTATTTCCTTTCATATACTCTTCATTCCTTTTTTAATATGTGTGTATGTGGATTTGCTGTTTAAAAAGGTTTGTCCAAAAATGGCAAGCAATACATGCAAACAGTGCACAATACAAATTAGATTACCTGCAGGGATAATGATTTTTAATAATATAATAGAGGAATTTGTGCATATCCTACATTATATAACACATTTTTAATCTTTTGATATTTAAAAAATTCGTTTGATTGATCTTGTTGGAATTAGCTTTCCTGTTTATACTTTAAGTTTATTCAAATACAAATGAGGTTATATATTTATATATATTTTACATATTACTTTAATATGGATTTTATTATTTAAAATTGGAAATTGGGACAATTTGTCTAAAATTATTCTTCCATTCAACTACATAACATCTGTATCTGAAGGACCACCGACTTCGACCTAGATTTAACTTATACTATAAAAATCGTATACTATAATTATACCCTTCTTCGAAAGTCAACTTATTATCGCCCTTCGCGGTTGGTCAACTAAAGGAAGTTGTCCTTCAGGATTTATTTAAAGCCATGATAGCTCATCAGTAGCAATTTAAAACAATGACAATAACGAGCGCTACACAGACACGCCTCGCTGTCTCCAGTACGCGGAGATGCCGCAACGTGAAATTCGTCCGACCACCTTTGAAGCTTCCGGTGGGTGGTTTCTCCATTGAAATTAAACCTACCGCATGAAAAAAGAAGCCGAGAGGCACTTTTAGAGGGAAGAGAGGGAAAACAGAAGGAAGAGCGATGGATGGTAAAAGAGGACAAGATTATTCGCGAGATTTTCTTCCTTCTCTCTTTCTCCTCTCCTCACTTCGCGGTCTTTACGCGAGAAACCGTGCCGTCACTAACGGGTGGTCTTATCGAATTTATGCATCCGCGAGGCGGTGGCTTCCGGCAAAGCCGAGCATACATACGTCTTGGCAAATGCGGGTTTAGAGTGAAATAGGGATCGCTCCGCTTTTGTGAGCAGTTCGTTCGATGGTGAAGGCAAAGAATATCGCGCGAAGAAAATGCGCGATAGCGTCTATTCTTTTTAATGCTCCCCGGCGGCGTTTTCTCCACGCTGCGAGTTTCATACTATTATCTCGCACCTCGCGTATATATATATCTCTCTTTCTTATCCCATGCGAGTGCATGATAGGTTTTTATGAGTAGATTTCGTGCCCGTGAAATTCCGATTTTCCTTCGCGGGAGATGCAGTCGTTGCACCCGCGTGTGGTTCACTATCTTCTTGGATATTCAATCTACGACACTTTTTGCTTGCTTCGACGTGCGTATATCCGCGAAATTGCTCTTGCAGATTTAGCGTATTGTGTATGTGAGACATTTTTCGTATTTTTCTATCGTGAGCTTATAAGCAGTAAAAGATATCGCAAAATTTATTACATGTCTGTATACTTAGCGAAGAAATGCTATTACAGCTTAAAAAATATATAATAGAAATACATTGAATTAAAGAATACTTTTATTATATTGTATTTTTTTGTTGTACGTATTAGCCGTCTTTTTTTTAATATTTCTTAAAAAAATTCCAAATCTGTAATTCTTTAGAACTATATAATTACAGCATATCTAAAAACTGCCATATAAAGTAATATAACCTTTTTTTAAATAAATTGTTGAATTATGAATCACTGCAAATAATAATCTGTGATCGATCGTGAGATTATTTTACGAATTTTAAATCACTCACATGAAAGATGAATATATGTTTATACGAGGGGCAAAGTAGAGAGCGTCTTTTCAAGGCACAGCAAGCGAAGAAACTCGACCGTGCACAATCACGAATCGATAAAAGCGTCTCACGTGCTGCTTTAGCAGATACACGATGCGATTCGGATGTCGCCGATATGATCGCTGACGCTCGGCAGCCGACAGTTAAAGGAAGCCCGCGATCTTATCACGACGCGGTGTCATGCTATGAGGCCATTAATCCTTTTTCTTCTGCCAAGACGAGAAATGAAAAAAGAGATCTGTTGTCGTTGACGTCGCTCACGGTCGAGAGGACAGGTCTTCGATTTGTGCTCTGGAAAAAAAATGTCGATACACGCTTTAAAAATTAATAACTGGTTTGATTTGTTCATTGGAAAATTTAAAATAATATACCTCTTATCTTATTGCACCATTTTTGCGATATACGTGCATTGTATTAATTTTTAAACGATTGTTTTTTTTTTACGCTTATTGGGATTTGCATTTCACGGTGAAAAGTTGGACAAGGTACGAATTGGAGAAGCTGCTTCTCGCACTTCTTTCTTTCATCGTTGGGAGAAAAGTATGAGGTTGCCGAGGGAAAATAGATAAAGACGAGTGGGATTCGTGGTGCTCTCGAGATGAAACGATAAATCTTGCAAAGCCCGTAGGATCCGTTCTTCCTTCTGAGATTAACCGCTTCTTATAAGGTTCAATCGAAGCTATTCATCAAGCGTTTCTTGATATCTCTTTCCCTGATTTCTCTCCGCCGCTCGTTAAAGTCTAATCATAGTACGGATTCCGATTCTTTCCTTTTTATGCTATCCATGAACTTCGCGCGATCTATGATTGCCAATAATCGATCGGACCTTTCACTACTGAACGGACTACCATAGAGATTGAACAGGAAAAGGAAATGAGCGAGATTTAGATTTCTGATTTATTAAATAGTGCAGTGTTTATATATTTAGAAATGTACTAGACTGCGATATATATATATTTCAGGATTCTTCTTTTATTCAACATCGCAAACAGAGAGAATATCTTAGATTTCGCTTTAGTAACGGATTCTCTTTGAAACGGAGAAATTTGAAATTGTCTCTTAAAAGAAATTCCGAGGAAAATAAGTTTTTTACTTTTATTTTTATATACATCTATTAAGAAATTTTTCAATTATATTAAACTTTGATTAAGATTCTATAAAAATGAAGTCACAAGCGAAATGTTTGAACATCGTATAATTTGGTTGTAAGAAAAATATCAATTCTCTAAGAATTGTCTTACAATTGTCTTACATTGGTTTTATTAAAAGATTCGATTTACAAAGTTTTATTATATATAAACACGAATGTAACACAAGGCAAGAAATTTTCAGTTTTTTCCAAAGAGAAAATTAATGTGAAAAATGTCGCAAGAATTTAAAAACGTTTACGTTTAGTATTTAAGAAAAACATTTGACGTACAAATGTAACGCGTTCGTGGAAAGACTCTTACAAGTTTATCCGCCATCCGATATCATTTTTCACGCCATTATTTCACATAGGGCTGTGTCGTGCGAGATCCGGTCTGACAACTACCACGAGGTCGATGCCAGTCATATAGTGAACTCGTTACCGGTCAGCAAAAGATACATGAAACTCGATTAATCGTAATATATATGCATGTTGGCATATTGATCATCGCGTGGTAACCTATTTAAAATGACGCGAGGTTTATGCGGAATTTAAATTGGTCGATACCCTCCGACACATTCCCCTAGTAATATACATATTTAATGCATTACATAAATTGATAAAGGTAGCACAAAATTTTTTTTAATACGCCACCGAGTGTCGGAAAATTCTTGTGAAATCGTTGAAAGAGACGATAAATCAACCATTATTCTAAAAACCGTTAATTATTAGAATAATTGGTAACGATTGAATTATTTCATTGTTTAATTCTATGCTGGGTACGTGAAAGTAGAGCAATTTACGATCGAAGATTTTATCTGCGTCCTGAAAAGAATGCAGATCTACCGCTTGTTCCGTTTTAATCTGATTATGTAAAATAAATCTCGGCATACATTACGTAAGGTGATAGTCTCTAGATCAGCGTTGATCGTTTTATTCCAGTTTTATTACGCAGCTATTTGGCACAGTGTGTTCTGCATGGTGAATGGACATTGTTCGGGGTCCGTACGTTATAAAAGAGTTCTGACTCGATCTCGGACGTTTTTCTGCCCTCTACGTGGTCCTCTTTCTTTGCGGTCCTCTTCATTCAGCCTTCTTACGATCTGGTTGGACCAGTATCGTGTGCACGAAATCTCTTGAAAGTCGATCGACCGCGGTTCCTGTGAGCACAAGTATCGATAACACGCATGCCAGCCCGTTTAAACCTTTTTTTGGCTTATACGAAAATCATTTTTATGCGAATGACGTCCGTCGCCGTGATATGAATTAAAATAAAAATCGCGCTGGATCACTTCCTTCTCGTGCCGCTCCACCCTTTAATTAAGCAACGAAATCTTGCTTCCTTATCTTTATTCATTTCATAAAAAAGATAATTTGCGTACAAGAAGAAAGTTACCGGACTACTCGATTAAGAGGATGGTTGTTTATTTTACGTTATAAAAACTTTCTTCATATCTGTAAATATTGACTGTTCATCAGACTTGCGTTGAAAATCAATTTTGCACTACTGGGAGAAAATTGTTCGGTATTTGTGAATATATCTGTATGTAAAAGAAAACATTTTTATTAAACGATTAAAACTAAAAGGTAAATTATTTTTATATAATGAAAGCGCGCCTATAATGCGCTAGTAATAACTAACAAACATGTTAAAAAAAACTAAAGACTTTTAAGCAGACTATAATAATTATTAGTAATTACAAATAACTACAATATAAATGTATAGTTGTAACTGCAACCATGTTTTTCTCTCACAATAAAATTTTTAATTTTATTATTTTTGTCGATATATATATATATATATATATACAATATATACATTCCGTGGAATAAACACATTCAATTTCTGCTGGATTTTTGAATTAACCTTGAATTTGGTTACGTGTGCGTCTCTTTGCACGCAAATGCATTCCGCTCGTCCTTATCTTGAGCGCGAATCGCGATTCATGGCGCGACACGAACCCATAGTAGGATCTCCACTCGTATGTACCTACATGTAATACATATACGCGGGTGAAAGGTGGTTACGCGTTCGCCGGGCGAGGCACGCCGACCGGAGAGTACTTGAATCCGTTGCTGGAGTA